AATTATATTAAAACTATATGATTTATAAACTGACTATGGCTAAAATTCAGGAAGCAGTCAGGCTTATCCAGCCATTTTCTGGCTTTGTGACCTTGGGAAACTATGACCTTATTCATATTGAAAGGATAAGCTAGTTTACTAAGCAACATATTCCTAAGCAGAAAGGTAGACAGCAGTGATTCCTGGTCATCCCTAAGCTAACTGGTAAATATTAGTTCTCAGCTAGCGTCCCAGCAGATTTGAAAGGATCAGTTTGGAACATGGCCCTCATCCTCAGGTACAAATGTGTTTAATGAATTTTGGTGGTAGTGGTTGTTGTAAAATGAATACAGTGTATTAACTAGGACTCTTTAGGTTGTAAGTGACGAATGCTCAAAAATGGCAAATTGGGGCGATAAAGGAATTAAGCTTATACAGACAAACCACAATTGAGGGTTTGCTGACTTCAAAAATGACTGGGCTCAGGATGTGTGTATATGTATTACTGTCTTGCAGGCGTGTGTGAGTGTGTTCTTTTCCTTTCTATAGATGCCATTCATAGCTTAGGTCATAATTATGTAATGAATGTATTTTCTCAGTTCTTTGTATATCCCAGAGAAAATTTAATTCTGATCAGATGGTCCTATATATACCCATGCGTCTGGAAGTTAGGTCTTGAGGCAGTGCCTCAGAAACTCCTTGGTCAAAGATCATATGAGGGGTGCATAGAGTAGAGGTTTATTGGAAGTGACTAACCCGGAACAGTCCACGGCTAGGTAGCCAGCCAGAAAATGAGTCACAGAAGTAGAATAAAATGTAATATGTGATTTCTTTTTTCTTTTGTGTGGTTTATCCCCTGTTGTCACTGTATTTGATTTGGTAACCTGGGCATTGTATATATACTTATCTGAATTAGGGAAGAGAAGGGGAACAATAAAATGGTGAAACAAAGGACAAAGGGTAAACCAATACAACAGATGCAATGAACCAACACAACAACTCACAAGATAATATGTTGGAAATGAACTATACAACTTGGGAGTGGGGGAAAGGGCGGAGAAAGTGGGAAAAAATGAGGAGGGGGTAACAAGTTCAACAGAAAATGTACTCACTACCTTATGTATGTAACTGTAACCCTTCTGTACATCTTCTTGACAATAAAATTAATTTTTTTAAAAAAAGAAAAAAAACAATGAAGTTTAGAAAATATGTAAGTTGCCCCTGCCCATACAGATGTTAAGCTGCTGTCACCAATAAAAGATAGAGAAATGGTTGGCCACTGGTGGCTCAAGCCTGTAATCCTAGCTATTCAGGGGGCTGAAGTCTGAGGATCATGGTTCAAAGCCATCCCGGGCAGGAAAGTCTATGAGACTCTTATCTCCAATTTAACACAAGAAAACCAGAAGTAGCGCTGTGGCTCAAGTGACAGAGCCCTAGCCTTTAGCTGAAGAGCTCAGGGACAGTGCAGGCCCAGAGTTCAAGACCCACGACCGACAAAAAAAAAATCCAAGGAAATGAAACTTAAGAACTGGAACTGGATCTACAAGATGTGAGACAACCTGATTTCCAGCATACATATTAGTTGAAGGAAAAGGTACTATGTATATTCTGGCTTAACTTTGGGTCTTTTCCCAACCCTACATTTACTTTCTGTCACATACAAATCTTTCTCCCTAGCATATGTCTCCTCTCTCGGACAAAAGCTTCTGTGGTCCTTCCATTCCCAAAGGGCTATCTGACCCACTCCTTCAACACTTCACAGTTTTGCCCATTGATTGAGAGCTATTACTTTACAAACAGAATAAAAACATAATCATCTCTTTTCAACTCAACGAATATATGTCTTGTGTATTTAGAAAAACAATAAATTATCTTTAAAAGGATGAATTCAATATGCACATGTTGAATAAGTAATCTTTATTATATGTTAATTTAGTTGTTTCTTTTTCTAAAGCAATTGTATAGTTGAAATTTCTTTCGCTTTATGATTACACAAATGAGTATATTCAGATTTTAATTAACAATTAAATTGATCAGTTTGAAATTTGGGCAACACAAATTTGCTTATAATTGCTCTCACTATGCTTATATGAAATCCAAAGCCTATATTCCCAAATATAGAAAAACCATTCAAGTCAGCCCTAGTTACATGTGTACATTCATTTGAATCTGTACAGTGTGTGCTTTCATTGCCAAGAATGTCAGCTCCATTCCTTAATTGTTCCTATAACCACAATTTGGGAAATTCTATTGCAACATCAATATGTGATGTGTATGTTTAATTAGGCAAGTGTGACCTGTCTGTCACAGTGATCAATGCTCTTCTTACTTAATCTACTTTAGACTATCCAATGTCCCCATTTTAAAATTAGCCATGCTTTAGCTTCATTAAATTCTTAAGCCATTAAAAGCACAGTCCTATGCATCACTGCTATTCTGTGTTCTGGACAGCCCACGCTTCTCACTTCACACCTCTCTGGGACCCATGTGACAAGGAACCCTTCTCCAGCTCCTCAGCTCTGGCATGTTATGGTTTTCTTATCAGATCTTGGGAAGAATCTGACACTCTTACTGACCTAGAAAGATCTGGTTGTCTCATTCTTTGGATCATCAAAATTTGATTCTCTTTCTCAACAGAAAATGTAAATAAGAGCAGACAGTAAGCTTCGAGCTATGTCTTCACACCAGGTCACACAAGAAAAAAAAAAAAAATAACATCACTTAGTCCATAATAGGAAAGTACAAAAACAAAACAAAAAATCTAGTCTGAAGCTAATTTCTTTTACTTAAAATTGCCATGATCTCAATAGGGTGAAACAATGATGCCTTAAACCGAGCTCTGTGATAATTACATCCTTTATCCACTTTATACTGTTTCTACTAGTATACAAGAATTCTTGTGGTTCTGTATCCTCACCAACACTAGGTATTACCAAACTTCTTAAATTTTTGCCCTTCTGGTATTTAATGCATGGTGATATTTCTCTGTAGTTTAATTTACTTTTCTCATAGTGGTTTTAGCTTGCAAAGCACTAATAACTAATGTGTTTTAGCAGCTCTTTGCATGCTTATTGTCCTGAGTCCAGGATGGTTAAGATTTGAATGTAAATTCTAGCATTTGGAATTCAGTATTCTGGAATGAGTCGTACATTTCAATCACTTCATACCATAGTGGTATACATAGTGGTATAAAGAAACTCATTCAGTGACAATCAGTTTAGAGTCAAGCACTTTATGCACTTCGTTCTCTTTAAGTCACATAAGCAACTATGAACTTGAAACTCCCATCTGAATATTGGACACAATAAAATTGAGACCCAGAGGTTGAGAAATTTACCCTGGAGGGCTTTTATAAGTGCAACTAAGTGTTGGAACTAATACTATATCTGAACTCTTTCCAGCAATCGTATTTCCTATCAATAAATAATCTGTGCAGAAGGAAAATAATGTTCTGTTTGGTAAAGTCATTGTGTTAAAAACTCTATTAAAAGACATTCCATATGACTAATTAAATAATCACATCCCCGGGCAAGTTTTTCCTTTAATATTTCATAAGTATTCAAATAAATTACAAGTGTTTGATATTTGGTGGAATTTCTCTTATGAGAGCAATTCATGAAAGACTTTAGTCACATGTTCCATTTTCAGGCTGTGACGGGCACTTGTGAAATGATTAACTGTACTGTAGAATTATAGAATATCAAATGGCAGCCAGAAATAAAAGGAACAAAGGCAAGAGTGAGAGAAACTATTCTCTAAGAGACATATCTTCATACAGGTAATCAATTGATTACGACACTCAACATATTCAGACAATAGACACTTAAAATTAATTTAAAAACAATTAAAGGACAAACATAAGGCAAGACTCCTAGGAATTTATATGTTATTAATGGTGCCTTTACCCCCAACTGTAATGATCTAATAAAAAGCCTGTAAATTCTTCAGACACAGGAACAATTTTCAAAAAGTCAAATGAACTAGAAGCAATTGCTCAGGTATGATATTGCTCACAAAGTGGGATAGGCTAAGCCAGTTGTCAATATCTCTCTGAGAACTAGGAATTGCTCTCAGAACAGGAGTAGCATTCTGTGTTTGACTCTCCCCTCCAGGATCTTTACAAAATAACTTTTCAATGAAATTGTATCCCGAAACTCTCTCCATTCATACAGACACCCTGGTGCTTGCCCTGTACCAACACCTTCAAACAGGCCTGGCATTTGCATCTATAGAAATGAGCCTGACACTTAATCTACTCCACAGAAATGAATAATGAAAACAATTTTAAGAATTACTTGTGTGTCCTTCATGTATTTTGTGAGGTTCATCATTTGTTGCTCTACTTCAGGACACAAATGTTTGATGACAAAAGTGACAAGCCCCATGACCAACAACAACAACAAAAAAAGCGATCACACAATGCACTTTCTAGTTGTCAATATATAGCCATCCTTTTCTGTGCTACCAACAGCTACAAAGATTTAAAGTTTCATGATTATAGGATTTAAATGATTTTAACCCCTTTACATTTGGAAATTCTTTAAATCCCATTATCTCTGTAGCTACTGCAAATTTTAAAATCAGCTTGGCCTTTTCTAGCTCCAGGTCTAAGGATTATAGAGTTTTAAAGAACAAATGCTTTTCTGAAGTTCCTCTATAAAGAGCTGTCCCCAACCAGTTGACCTACAGGAAATAAAGCCAGTCAGTTCTCCAGCTGGTAACTGCTGATCAGAGTGTCTAAATGGAGAGATATGTATGTTATGCCACAAACCCCTAGGAAAACAGGTAATTGCATGCTCAACTCCATATGAAGCCAGTGAATTGGATGATTTGGTGTAGGAAGATGCGACAAACTTTATACATGTGTGTACATCAATTAAGTGTCTAAGAATAAGAAAAGAGATGTCATAGAATCTCTCTAGGAAATAAGAAGTAAGGGCAGTGAGTTAGAAGCCACCTTGCTCCTAAAAAATCATGTTACCATAGATACTCAAATGCTAGGTAACCCTTTGAAGTCTTACCTCTTGTGTCCTCACATTTATGTATCCATAATGAGTCCGAAGGGGCCGCCTGTATGTGTAAGAGAATGGTATCCACTTTGTACCAGGCTGTCCGAAGCAGTTTAGGAGCAATGGGAAATTCACTTCATTTACAAGGCGCACAACCAGCAGGAAGAGGAATGCCGCTACAAAGCTTACTGCAATCACTGACTTTCTCTATAAAACATTAAAAAAAAGGAAGAGAAAAAAGAACGAATTTAAATAAGAACAGTCACAGAAGGGGTTCCTTTAGTCCTCTCCTTTTTCTTTCATAAGGATCACAGGATTCCACCATTTAATATATTTAACTCGGCAACCGAAAATAATCATTTGGTGAGCAGGCTGTTTTTTCAGGATAGATCTCTGAGAGCAAGCAGAATAGTGTTCTGGTCTGCTTCTCTTCTCTTTCCACCATTCCATTTATCCTTATATATTCACTGCATCCTCTTATCAAATGAAATCAAATTTAGATAAAGCCTTTTCTATGGTTCAATTCCCTCTTCTCCACCATCCTTTCATCCTCAACCTGCTTATACTATATTAAATGAGAATTCCCCCTTTTTCCATATTTAATTTAAAGGTAATTCTAGTGTGTTTGTTTTTTATTTCATAATTATATGATCTTTTTCTATGTGATTATGGATTTATGGAAAACTGGATTATACTATATCATATCCCAGATATACTATATCTCATTGTCCTTACAACAATCCTTCAAACCTTATACACCATAGGCATTCAATAAACACTTGATTGAAATGGATGGATGGATAGACAGATAGATGGATATATACATACATACATACATACATACATTCATTCATTCATACATAGTTGCACAGAGAGATACATAGATGGATTAATTGATTTTTCATGTTATTATAGACACTTTCTCTATCATTCTGTGCTTTTGTATATAGCACCCTTATGGGCCCAAAACTCTTCTGTCTTATTGGATTCAAAATGCTAAAGGAGAGGCTGGGAAGGTAGCTTAGTGGTAAAGTGCTTGTCTTTCATACAGGAAGCCCTGGGTTCTATTCCTTAGCACCACATAAACAGAAAAGGCCAGAAGTGGCGCTGTGGCTCAAGTGGTAAAGTGCTAGCCTTGGGAAAAAAAAAAAATAGCACCCAGGCCCTGAGTTCAAGCCCCAGGCTGGCAAAAAGATATGCTAAAGGAGTCATTTCATGATGAACAATGTAAGAATCTTCCCCTATATATGCTACCATGGAATGAAAGCTGTAACAACTGCATCTGATTGGAATAGGAGAGAGCAGAGATGAAACCGATTTCTCTTAACAAAATGCACAATTTTTAATTAGTAGGGATGTGTGAGCTGAACTTTCCAGACAGATAACACAGGCATGAGGATAAGAAAGCAAGGGGTCTTCCGTAGGCACTGAATAATTTGTCTTGCAGTGCAGCATAAAAGAGAAAAGTCTAGAAACACAAATGATCATGTTAGCACTATGATGGACTCTTTCAGTTACCAAACTAAGAAGTATGTATAATTTTCCAGATGAGGAAAAGCCAAAAGTTTCTTTTCTATTAATTCATTTTCTTTTTGGAAAGGTATCAGTGAATAGAGGTAATCCAACAGGAGTGTTTACCATGCTTTGGAATAGGGAGAGAGTAAAGGCAGGAAGTAATTAGGAGGACTGAGCAATGAGGGATGGAAATTACATCAGGGAGAAGGAACAGAACAATGAGAAAAAGCATGAGAGATGCGATTTAGATGGGAGGAATAGAATTTGACTTCAGATGGAACAAACATGGCAGACATGACCTTCAGAGACTTGGGGCCTAAGAAATGGCAATAATATTCGATCATATCGGGAGAAACCAGAGGGGTGAAAACAGGAATCTCTTGATGACCCAAAGAAAATGAAGCCTTGGCTTCGTAGGTCAGTAAGATCTAGATCAAAGTAAAACTAAAAAGAAAGAGCAAAAGATAGACCTTAGGAAAAACTCTCCTGTAAAGCGCAGGGTAGACAGAGCGAACTATTCCATTATGAAGTTGAGCTTGAGCTGTGATTACTCTTTGAACTTAATTAAGGAAAGCCAAATAACTTTCTGAGAATAACTGCATATTTTTGTATCAGTGTTATGTTTTGAGCTGGCCATTTTCAGGGGGAATCCGCTTGAATTTTCTCCCCACTGAATCTCCCAAGGAGGAAAAGAAACCCAAACATGGCCCAACATTCTCCCTGGGCCCAAGCAGCACAATCAGCTCCCAGAAGTCAGACCCCTAAAAGAAAGTCTTCATTCTTGCTCAGTTCCTGTAATTTGTAAAACTCACATTCCTCTGTCTAGCCAGTGTAATTTTCTAATCACCTAAAAGTCCCTTGAGCCCTGCCTCCTCAAAACCCCTTATCTCACCACTAACTACCACAGCCTTACCTCATTTAACCTTCTAATCATGAAAAACCGTTTTAATTTGCTCCTCTGTGGAATCATTATGTCCACAACATTGCAGTGTGTCAAGGTAACAGCTTAAATGAGGTGATGGATCTTACAAGTTTAAAAGGACATAGACCAGAACAGATGGCTAAATAAAAGCAAAGAGGCCAGTCACCCATTAAGTAAACAAGTAAGAACCTTTTCACTTTTTTTTTTTTGGTCAGCATACTGTAGCTGGATACAAAGCAGCAGCATGCTTTGAAGGAGAACCAGATGGAATCTTTGCTTTTGCCTATTCCAGAGCACAGCGTGACTTTGTCCTTTCTCTTAGCTGCTGAACTGCATTGCATTGGCTGCAGGTTGAGGGACAAAGGCACAGAGGGCCTTTCTGAATCTTCTGATCACAAGCAGCAACACATACATAATGCATACATGAGAAGAAACTAAACCAACCATTTTGAGAGAAACTTCAAAACAAAACAAAATCACAGTCATAAAAGCCTCCTCGCTGGTAATCCATGTCTGCCTCCTATGTCTATCAAAAGGAACCAAGTCATGAGTGCAGAGAGGGGGGAAGAGCAATAACTGAGAGTGAATCCCAGCACCCACCCCTCTGCACTCCACCTGGAACTGAATTCACACTGGGCGGAGGTATCCTTTTATAGCTCAGACCTCAGTCTAACTTCTGTCACGTTGTCTCAACCTGACTCTTACCCTTTCTGTGTTGCTGTATTCTTGTTCAGCATGAAAGTATTCTCATAGTGCCAACATAAAATCACCCTGAAATTTTACTAGAAAAGGTAAAACTGGAAGCACATGCTGTGCTCCAGATGGCAAAGACAAGGAAACTGAACACACATGTGCTTCTCCTGGAAGTCACTTCTGTCAGAGCCTGACCTTGACCTTCAGCAACTGCAAAGCAAACCTTGGATGAGATACTTTGAAGTCTATCCATCATATAACATCTCTGTGTTAGAAAAGTACTACTTGTGCATGTTCATCATGGATGTTTTCACAACTTTAAGTTGAAATTGTTCATTGAGACCATATTCTGTATAGAAAGAGAAACAGAAACATAAGTATAAATGCCACGAGGAGGAGGAGGAGGGGGGTAGGGGGGAAGGAGGAGGAGGAAGAGGAGGAAGAGGAGGAGGAGGACCACCACTGGTACTGTAAAGGGAACTATGCACAGGGTGCTTTGGAAGCCCAGAGAATGGGCAGGTCTGGGAGCTACAGGAGGGACATTTGTGGAAATGCTTTTCTGGGGTAATGGTATTGAAGTGGAGTCCTGAAGAATGAGATAGCAAGGAGATAGTGAGGAGAAGGGAATGGCATAGTAACCAGAGGAATAGCAACTTGACAGTTTGTAATTTGACCAGAAACCTTTATTTGGTAAGAAGACTACATAGACTCTATGTGGTAGGAGAGGCTGATAGACAAGATTTCAAATCATAAAACCAAAACTAATAAGCACAAATGCATTAAGTGAGATGTAATTATCAGTCCTATCTACTATACATTAGGGTAATGAAAGGACAAATGGATGCAATGTCACATCTTATAATTCTAAAATATTACTCATTTTCTAATCAACTGAAAATGCATTATTTCAGTATATTTGAAATTAACATGTACCACAATACTTTGTTTCCAGTTGTCTGATTTTTTCCATCAATAAATTCCTTCTGAATGGCATGTTCTAGTAGCAGTTTTAAGTCCAGAAACCCTCAAAATTAGGCAATTTGTCCTGAGATATCTGTGTTCTGTCTATGGAAGTGTACATTGCTGCCTTTATATAGGAGTCAGAATCTCTTTAAACAACTACAATTAAGCTAGAGAAATCAATATAAGTACTTATCAGTTTATAACATAAAATAATTCAATATTTTTTCACACTGCAAAAAATCAGACATAAACATAATAAACAGTCATTCTCCAAAGATGAGAAGTAGGCACATTAAATCAAATGGATGGAAAAAGCAGAGCACAATCCAGGCACAATTATGATATAATTGGGAATTGTGAGATCCTTGATGGGTACTGGCCAATTGGTAAACACTGATTGGGACATGAAAATTTCATGATAGGAATCAGACAAATCTGTTTCTCAAATATCCCAAGCAGCTGCAAACCCTTGAACTATTTGGTGCAATGCATCTATAGAAGCTATGGAAGGATGTCACTGTGCCCAATAGATCTGATGAATTGCTGTGGGGAAAGCTTTCTCCTTCTTTGTTCTTCATTTTGGGCAAATCTAAAGGGACCTTTAACAGCTGAGACATTTAGAATTTAATCCCCTTTGTGCTGCGAAAATATGCATCAAAAATGTGACATTCCAATTGCTTGCTCCTTAGAGTTGGAATATAATTTATGAGACTTTAGTGTAGACATCCCTATTTCAAAATGAAACCAAGGGGAATTCATGAGGTGGGAAGAACACACAGTTGCAGAGATTTGGACCCAGTATTTTTGCAATCTACATAAATTTTATGCATGTTTTTCTACCACAGAATTTGTCATTCACCATAAAGACTTTACCATTCCAGTTGGTTGTTCAATGTTTTGAATTTTCTTTTTCATAAGTGATAATAGAATAAAGATATGTTTGTTCTACATAATATATTATATAGGAAAATATATTTCTATAGTATTATTTAATGACTTGAAGTAGCTGTGCACCAGGGTAACAGCTGTTAACTTTTCTTTACATGACATTATTTATCAAATGATAAATTTAAAATACAATGCCAACCGTATTACATTATTATTATATTATTAT